GTCAGGAAGAATTCTTCAAAGGCTTTCAGCATCTCCACTATCGAGACAAAGGCGTAACTGTGAACTGCAAGGTGATCATATGATATCTAACATTCAAACTCAATGCACACAGTATACCATTCGAACATAATTACACTGACCTATTACCATCAACAAAAAGAAACTGAACAAACAAGTCATTTGTGGTGAGCCCAATCTGTGTAGAAGAACAGGTCACGACACTGCTTATCCTCCAGCTTACTGACTGAATTCTATCGAGCGACTTGCGATTCGGTAAACAACCTACGAATCTCATCATCACAATGTTCTCACACATGTTACATGAATGCGTCCAAGATCTACGAAACTAATTTGTATCGATTTAATTCTTCTTCACTATTCTCATAAAGAGCTAGCTGCAAATGGTATGCAGATGACATCCCGTTTATCATTCCAACTCATTCCGCGTAGTAATATATTCGAAGAAAATCCTAGTAAACCATTCACGTCAACACCCACTGCCTAAAGAAGCACGTCAGCTCCATCTAGTCCCGAATAAATGCCGAAGAAAAAGCCATGGTACTCCTTTTACTCACATGTGCTGACTGAATTATATAGAGTATTTTGAAATACGGTAAACAACCCACGAAACGCATCACAATGTCATCTCACAAATGTTGCGTGAATGCATACAGTTTGTAGCAGCCGCTCTAAATCGAAATGCATCCTCTTCACTCTTGCCGCAAAGGTATAGCTGCAAACAGTACTGATATCATATCCTGTATATCATTCCAACTCACTCGACACTATAAAATTCCTACATAATTCCATTGAGATATTCCAATCAACGTATGAAACCTAAAACAACACGTCAGCTGTGCTGAATCCCCAGGACATGAAGAAAACATAACACACTATAAGCTAGAAACTCTTGCATGTTCCTTCAAATCCTTCGAGGATTTCGTCATATCGCAAACGATCTACAAAACCATCATCTGGATGCTTTCTCACAAAAGCTAAGTGAATGGGCGTAATCGGTAGGAAGAAATCTACATGGACTTCCTTCCTCTTCACTCCTGCCAAAAAGGCGAAGCTGCGAACGGCATGAAGATCATATCCAGTTTCTTATTTCAACTCACTCCACACAGTATTTCATTCACGCTCGATTCAAATAAACTTTTTCCGTGAACATACACTACATGAACGAATTTACCAGCTGCATCAAGTACCAAGAACATGTAGACCTATAAAATCTGTGCGCTCAAAACTCCAAAGTGCTCATCGAATTCCATGAAGCATTTTGCCATAAGGTAAACGATTTAGGAATCTCATCATCACAATTCTATCTCACACATTTTGCATGAATGCGTGCAAACGGAGCGAACTATTCTACGTCGACTTCCTTCTCACAAAGCGCTAGCTGCAAACGGCATTGATATCATGTCCTGTTGCTTATTCGAACTCACTCCACAGAATTTCCTATTCGCACAAAATTGCGCCGAAGCATTCCAGCCAACACCCACTTTATTACCATGGTTGTTGGCTGCGTATACACCCAGACCATGAAGAAGGAAAGCCACGATACTCCTTATCCTCCTAGATGCTGATTTAACTATATCCAGCACTATGCAAAACGATGAATAAACTACGAAACTCATTCCCACGCTCTCTCACATAGGTTGCATGAATGAGCGCAATCAATGGGAGCCATTTTATATCGACTTCTTTCTCCTTCAGTCTTATCACAAAGGCGTAAATGCAAGCACCATGGAGATCAATATCGTATCTCTCATCCCAACTCACGCAATACGGTATTCCGTGCATACATAATTCCATTGAACCTCGCCCCCCAACACTCACTACATGAAGATGTTTGTCGACTGCCTAGAGTCCGCAGGCCTTTTTGAATAAATAGCAATGATACTTCTCATAAATCTACGTGTTCATGGAATTCTACATAGGATGTCAGCATACGACGAATAACCTACGAATCTAATTATCGCCATGCTCTCTCACACATGTTGCATGAATGTGGGCAGGTGGTAGGAAGCAACGTACACGGACTTTATTGTTCGTCACTTCTGCTACAAATGTGTAGCTGGAAACGGGAGGGAGATCATTTTTTGTTTCTCATTTCAACTCACTCCACATACAATTCCGCTGATCCATTTCCGTCAACACCTACTACGTCAAGATTTTTACCGACTGCATCGCGTATTCTGTAAGCAATAGCCATGATACTCCTTGTACACCTGCGTGCTGGTCGGATTCTACAAGGTGTGTTGACATGTAGCAAACAACCTTCGAATCCCATCATCACCATGCTGCATGAATGCTGGAAGGCGGTATGATGTAATCGACAATGATTAATTTCAGCTTCACATCCACCACAGAAACTAAGTTGCAGAAGCCACGGAGATAACATCCTATTTCTCATTCAAAATCACTCCATAGTTTTCCATTTGTGAAAAATTCCACTGAACCCTTCTTATTACCAAAAGTGCAGTAGCAGAACGAGCACGTCAGCTAAGTCAATTAGAAAGGTAAACCCACAATCCTCCTTAAATTCCAACGCGATGATCTAATGCAATCAAGCGTTTTGACAAATAACAACAGGAAGCATTCAACATCGACTACCATTTTCTTGACTCTTATCACATAGGCGTACCTGCAAACGACATGATGATCATATCCCTTCACTCTCCCCAACTCACTCCACACAGTATTCCATGAGCCATTCACGTCAACATTCGCTACCTCAGCAAGTGCTTTATCTGCTTGGATTCCCAAGGCAGGTTTCGACATCCCACAATAAGCACTTTCTCCTCCTACATCCTGTTAGGATTGCATCCAGAAATTTACAGTATCGCAAAATACCCACGAGTTTCATCATCAGCATGCTTTTTGACACATGTTGCATGAAGTCAGGCGATCGGGAGTAAGCGTTTCACACCGATTTTCTTCTTCTTCACTCTTGTAGCTGCAATCGGCACGGAGATTGCATCGTCTTTGTCATTCCATCTCTCTCAACGTAGTATCCTATTCATACATGATTCCCCATAGCCATTACCATCCACGCCCATTATCTGAACGAGTGCGTTGTGTGTATATTTCCAAGGTAGTTTTCGATAATATCCCGCAATAAGCTCTCTACTCCCAAGTGAAGATCGGATTCCATCCAGCGTTTCTAATACGGCGAAAAACCAACGGATTTCATGTTTACAGTGGTCTTTTAGAAATTGTTCTTGTAAGAACCTGACAGATGCAGAGACCAATTACTAATTATTTGTACTTATGGTATTCCGACAAATTCGGGACCTAGGTAGAACACAATAGCATAGTCAGATGAAACTATATTTGAGAGTGCGTGCCAAAGTATTGATGCGTTCTGATTAGCTGGCTAGAGGATCAATTACGATCAGGGCAACGTAACACAAGGTGCCGAATGGCGTGGATGCTTGACCATATACCCTCAGCTTAGCGAGTCCGATATAACTATGAAAATCAGCATCAATGTTGAATCTCGTTGGACTCTAGGTTATTGATTTCGGGGAATTATGTACCATTAGACTAACTTACACATAACTGAGGAATGTGGCCGATCCACAGGAAGAATTCACATGGGTTTCCAGTATCCCAACTCTTGTCACAATTTCGTACCTGCAGACGGCACGCAGATCATATTCCATCACTCATTCCAACTCACTCTACAACAAATTCCGTTCTCAAATAATCACCCTAAACCATTCCGTCAAAACTAACTGCTTCGACGAATGCGTTATCTGTATCGAGGCGTCACGAAATATAGACGTTAAACGACTTCACGCTCTTCACTCCTACCTCCTGATCGCATTCCATTCTGCATAGAATTCTTTCTTTTTATTTCGTGTCGAAAATGCCTATGTGCAAACTGGACAGAAATCATATCATGTATTTCATTCGAACTCAGTCTACAAAGTATTGCAGTCGCACATAATCCCACAGAGCCATTCCCATCAACACCAATTACGTGAAAGAATGCTTTAGCTTAATCGAATCCTCGGGAAGGAGTAACATAAATACATACTCTACCGTCTCGACTCCTAGCAGCTCATCGAATTCCATCCATCCTTTTTAACATAACAAGCATCATACGAATCTTATGATGAAACTAATGGGGGAGGGAGGTCGGTAGGAAGCATTCTGCAACGGGTTACTGCTCCTGAGCACTCCTCAGGAAGGCGGGTTTCGTTGGGTGTAATCATCTTGACAGGGTTTCCTCTATCTGCACAGAGTTGATGACTGGTCTTTCATATGTCAGCCCACAAAAGTGCTACCCCCATATGCCGCATGAACTGGAACGAAGGTTATTTGTGAGGAATAATTTTTTTGTGGCAACGGAGCTTCAGAACGGAAAATATGAAATGAATCATGATGGTTGTACTTTGAAATTTCATGAGGCATTCACTTTCGCAAGACAAATTGTATTCGGTATAGGTGATACGGAGTAATTAAATAAAAAGTTTTGAAAAAAAATTTGAGGACAATGAAGTGCGAAGGAGGAAATAATATTAATGATATGATAACCGGATGTATAGATCAAGCAACAATATTTTTGGGGAAATAAAATAATGACTTATATGAGATCAATCTAATCATCTTCTATTCATATGAATACTAAGATGAAGTCGGTACACTGGAACTCGTGTTCATAAAACAATGACAGAAAGGAAGGTTAAATGGTGCTATGTGGGCATATGGAAAAATAAAAAATTAGATTCCATGCAAGAATATTACACAGCAAAGTTTAAAAGCTGTACACGTAGATAAAGGAAAAACAATTTTCTTACTCTGAAACAGAAGAGCGTCCCTGCTTTTTGTTTTTGAATTATTAACATAAGCAATTAGACCCCTGAAAATGAAATATTTTCTATAATACTCAATATACTACGATTTACGTTATCTTTCGAATCGTAATTCAAGCACAAATGGTCATAAGTATAAAATATTCTGAACGCTTGACTTCAAGGCATAGTATGTATCTAAGCTAAAAATTTCAAATGAATGGCAAAAAGAAAACAAGAATTAGAATGAAATGAATGACATGGGTCATTTGTTTGGTCAGTGACTAGCAGAAAAAAATGATTGTGAAGTGAGAAGTGAGAGGATTCACTTAGACAGAAATGGCAATATAACCTTATTCACAGACACAACAAAGGACTGTAAACTAATAATTTGATAAAATACTCAGTTTATATATATATATATATATATATATATATATATATATATATATATATATATATATATATATATATATATATATATATAAACTTTATAAAAAAGCATTACATAGATGAGGCATGGAAATCAGATACATCCCTCCAGGTCAAAATAAAATGGTCTCGATAAATTTAGGCATGTAACGACAGTATGAAATGTAAAATACTCAATTTGGTTGCAGTTTTATGAGTAACTGCTACTTAAAAGAAGTACGACAAATCACATATCTTCAAAAGAGTAACAACTGACTGAGTATTGTTACATACATCAAAATCACAAACATTCTAGAAAGAGCAAACGTGAGCAATTACTTTTTCATGATATTCCCATCTCACCACAGATACAAATCAAAGCATGAGCGAAAATAAAAATCACCTTCGTAAAACGCGATGCGACTGCTAAAGCTGAGTCTAGTAATCAAATAGGATTCCAAGCACATAAATAAACAAATGCCTATCTTCTAACACTTCGACTGACAAAAGAAAAAGAACCCGCTTACGACTGTGAAATAACTCAACAGGTCATGAAACCACACTATTATCTACAGGTTGAAAATATAGTGAAATCTTTCCCCGCTAACTACTGCGAATAAGTTACCTGAGAAAAACCAATGTGTGTCTGAACATTGACAGAGACCCTTCAAAAATTCCACCCAACACTGCTGACTGAAACTGACTCATAAAGACCACAGAGACTGACCGAATCCCTAGAGGTCATCTGGTTAACTCGGAGTACGCGGATGATGTCATCCTGCTGGGTGAAGACAGTGATAAAATGCAGGGTCATCTGAATGTGTTGGGCACAAAGCTATGTATATTTTGCATCCGTTTAACTGGCACTCGTCAAATATAAGATGATGTTCTAGCACTGGTCCACTGCAAGTACTCCAAGCTTAATACTAGGAAGTGAAGTGGTTGGACAGGTCATAACACTGTTCGTTTCTTTTCACTATCACTCCCAAGTTCGTCTCAATAACTAAGCTAATTTCTCTTCGCCGATCGTCACCGATTGCTACTCTCATCTGTTCGCACCGTTAGAAACTCCTGTCTTACAATATGGGATCTCAAACAGCCATATGAAGACACCACGTACCATTTACATATGCCAACCTCGACCTTCGAACCTCAATGTAGATGGCACAATACATAAGCACAACTACCACTACAAAAACCAAACCACTAATCCACGCGGAATCTGGTAAAGTAACACATTACTTCTTAGAGATACCTCGGAAGGCGTACTCAACGTGCACTAATCCGCGAACCTCATGACATCGGCGTTCAACCTTTCCAACACCACTACTACTGATCAAGTACGACAACACAATAAGTCAACTAGATCTACACTAACAATCGTCTATGGGATGCCAGAATGGAAGGTCTACTTACAGTAGAAAGCAGCTGACAAGATATACGGTGTCTCCTAGACACCTATTACCCACCCTACAGCAGTCAAGGATGACTACTATCATCAATTAATCACCCTTTCAAACCAAGTACACTCGATGCGCACCGTAGTGCTGGCTGAGAACTTGGATAAACAAGCTCAGCGTAGTTGCGGTGACCGATCAGGATAACCGGATAGTATTCTGGATAATCATGTTCTTCGTCGTCAGCTATTCACAGAACAGACTCTATTTATAGCCAGCTCCATTGTGTTAACACATCCCATATCTACTGCTCGAAACAGGACCAAAGCAAATTATACTGCAAGCAGCTACCAACGACATCGATGTACTAAGAGACACTGCTCTCTCTGAAGTGTCTGTCGGAGCTCTGGTCAGGCATTTTGTGACTTGATATTAGGTGTCAGACGTCAATCAACAGGAAGCCGAGAAAATAGGTTTTTGTGCATTCATCAGAAAGAGAATCATGAACCGTATCGGTTTACAGAAGAAAGCTTTGTAAACTATGTTTCTTTAGAACAGTAGATACAAAACCATGAGAGATAAAATTAGTGAGATTACAACAAATATTTGAACTAACTAATGATCTGAATGTATTAGATAATGTTAAGTTATCAGTACTTACCTACATTCAAATCGCACCGATTAGTTGGTTGTGTGTTCTGTGATACTGATAGTTGCCTTCAGCCTGATCAGGGAATTTAGATGTTTGTACAGCTAGATAATTTGAAAGATCAAAAGTTATCTCCGAGTTATCAATAGGTTTTTTACTGTTCGATACGATTTCGCATTTACTTTTGCACGTAGTAATGCCACTATGTTCATTTGGACGTGTTATATGAGTATAGATGAACGATCGAAGTAAAAGGCGATTCTCCTTCAATTGAAAATAAGCATTAAATATTTCATGAAATAGTTCAAGTATCTTTAGCAGATAACAAACATTATCGTATTTAAACACTGAATTTCATAAAAATTATGGTAGAAAATAGGCTCTCGATTACAAGTTGAGAAGTGACAATGAAATTAGACAGATACACAAAATCGACCTCGCACACAAGTCCATCGGCTCAAGTTGCCACACTTCATAGAAGTACACAAAGAACAGGTGGATAGATAAGCAGTGATACCAAAGTAGACAAAGTAGTGTGAGAGGATAAACTATCTGAAGATCAAGGTTAGTGCAAATATTCTAGCTTCATCAAAGAGTGAATCCACTGATTCCCATCACCTCCTAGACCACAGCTCGATAGTCAACATCTTCTCCATGTGACTCAGATCAACAGCAAGAGACTATCGACTACTGCCACGTCCTGGTCTGGCTACTCTAAACCCTCTTCCGACCTAATCCAACCTCCTCCAGCATGGCACGTCGAGGTAGGAGGTGCACCGGCAAGTAATCTCAGTAGACTAACGTTCACAACGTTACCGATCAGCTTGCTAATACATAAATCAAACAAATCCCAAATCAAGATACCGTCTTTTATCTGTTACCACTGTTTGAATAAAAACTTGAAAAAGCTACGAAGAGAGGCGATTTTGATAACTACCTCTACCTCTATTACCCGGATATCAGTTTGAAGAAGCTATGGTGTTAATTCAGAGCTCTGGCACTGTGGTAGTGCCATTGTTAGGGATGTCTGATGTATGTATTTTGAGCACATATTTTCATTGTAAAACTTGAACTTCATTATCGCATTTTTGTGGCTTCATACAATGTTACTCATTTTTACCGCGAATTAAGATACTAAACGCTGATTGCCCCCATCGTGTTGAGAAGTCATTGTTCTATTGTGAAACATATATATATATATATATATATATATATATATATATATATATATATATATATATATATATATATATATATATAATGCTCAAAACACAACCCAGCAAATAATATCGTTTTACTGTGCACTGTAACATAAACTAATCTGATATAGAATTACATTCTACCACAGTGTCAAAGGTCTACACTGATATCGGGTACTTACTGCTTAGAAATTTTCGTGGACAAAATTTGAACTGTCACTTTCTTCACCAAATAGCAAGTATCTAACTGAGAATCACATTTTACAGACATCTGGTTCGTTTATGGATTTTAACAAGGGATATTTTGTCCTACTTGCTGAGTTAAAATCATATTTCAAACTAGGTGACTACTATATTCTTTGAATGCATAGAAATAACAATAACATTTATGACGTTACCTCATCAACGATAGCCACTAAAATAAACATAAGGACAGCTGTTAGGGCCATGGCGACTGGAACAACAATTAGCATACTGAAAGCATCCAAAAGCTGAATATAAATTGCAATATAAGGGATCCCTAGCGTCAGCATCAGTTGTGTTAATACTAATAAATGCCTGCAACAACAAAAACATAAAAACTTTTATATAATGGAATTTACATACTACAATTTCCCGATAAAAAAGTTACACACCTAAATCTCAATGGAATCTCATAAGGAATTTATTAACTGTATCTTTGACTTATTCTTGTTAGAGCAATTTGACTAGTACTAAAAGTAGGATTCGTTATTACTTGAAACGGCTGAGTAGACTTGTCATCCTTGACCTTCAAACCTCCATGTAGATGGCACAATAGATACGCGCAACTACGACTACAAAAAGCAAACCACTTATCCACGAGGAATCTGGTAAAGTAACATATAACTTCTTAGCAATAGCGGTAATCTAGCTCATTAACTAAAACGTCGAGTTTTGTAAATTTGTTTTAGAAGAAAAGAGGGTGGTGAATTTTTAACAAACCTTTATACTCAGCATAAAACCAGCCAATTATTTAGAATACAGTTGGTGTCTTCGGCGAGGTGATTTGTGTAATCATCAAACATGGTTTGAAAGCTTTGCTTAAAATCTCATCATCATCTTTAATGAGACAGGGTCTGCATAGCTGAAAGTTTCAAATCGATTATCGGAACTACGGCTAAGTTTATATTTGGTTAGTGGTTTCCGCAGTTGACTGAACCAAACTGAACAACCCCTATCAAAATACGGAGACCTGCACGAATGCCCATTGTTATCAATCGTTTCAGTTTAACAGTAATGACAAATAGCGGTTGGCAGGCAGTGGCATCCAGGGTACACGCTGTAGTTCTATTTAAGACTCACTCTTGAACCCCATCTCAGTGTAGCTGTTCACACTAAAACGCTAACTACCTTCTTCTAAACTGTTAACCAACAAAACCTTACAGTATGATTTGAACTCATGGAACAAATTTTTCACTCAGCATATCTTATTTGATCACTGTGATCCGCAAGCATAAGGAAAATATTAAAATAGCAGTTGTTTGTCCAAGTTGTTTTAAGCTTGAAACGACGCTAGGCGGCTGGGCCTGATGGCTTATTATTTTAAGTTCCTAAGGATGGATACCGGAAACTAATGCGTAGATTAACAGAGGTAATGGGTAGAGCATGGAAATGAAACACAGTTCTCTCAGATCATTCTCAATCGCGAATTATTGCGTATGACGAGACAACAGAGAATATTTAATGTGACAATCACAGACAGGTAGGTTTAAGTAACATGGTGCCCGAGACTCCAAGATTCATAGTTGTCCGACGCTTAGCGGAGCTGGAGAACATCAAACTCGGAAAAAAGGTAGGTTTCAGACATGAATCAGTATGAATCAATCAGATCTTTGAGCTTCGAGAGGTCACGGAACATTAGCATACTTACTGACGACCGCACTTGCCATATTTTTTGATCTGAATAAAACATCCGAATATCTTCATCGAGAAGTGTTGAAGCAGCGTCTGACTGCGAAGGGACTACTGAGCAAGTATATAACGCTGATCAAAATAGTCTCTACTCAAACTCAGACAGCTGTGTAATTTTTTTAATGTTCATAGCTCTAAGTACCTGCGACTTCTCAGGCATCGACTAAATACTAAGAGAGTAGTTGCCAGTAGAAGGAGATCAGCTTAAAACATAGCAATCATAAACCTGAACAGTGCTAAAGCAACAAATGCATCCGTTAAGCCATCTTATAGTGTTGTTGTGTCAAAAACCTTAGTTTTTTCCTTATTTCAAAGCTCTTCACCTTAATTTTCAAACATTTTTGAAGATTACTATTTTCTACAAACCTCTAAACCTTCCTCCCTAAAGATCGTTTGTCTACTGATAATCCTTTCATGTGCCAAACGATCTCCTGAACTTTAACTATTTACATTATTTATTATCCATGTTACCGGTTGATACAATTAATAAAACCTTGTCAAATTCATAAAAGTATTGTTCAATTCTTGTAATGTGTACATTTTTATATGAATTAAGCAGTTAAGAAGAATCCGCAAAAAATAATAACGAGTTTACACTATCCTGCTACTCTTGTTGCTTTTGCGCCGCTCAAGTTAATATATCGGAAGAACTGTGTTGGGCAAAGAAATAAATCCTAATACTCAAACCAAAATAGTCTTCATCATTTCTTACGTCTTCTCATAGAGACATGACAAGTTCATGCACATACTACTTATCAGATTAAAGATCTCACGCAGACTAGTTTTAAGACTACTAATAAGAAATATAACCCTTAAGTATTTCAAAAGAATGATGGGAAATTAGGTGGAGCAAACAGGAGCCCTCATGACTTGCGAAAGGATATTGAAAACCATCTGGTGATGAGGAAAAATAATCACGCCTTTTACAGACTGATAGAAGGAAAAATAATTTGCTCCATCATCTCATTACTCGCTAGGTAGGGTTTCTAAATTCTTAATTAGCTTCTCGAATTTTTTCCACAGTTGCAATTAATATTTCAGTCTCAATTTTATTCCACCTTTATACAACTAACCTTTTACATTCTCGTCAAATCGTGTCTTCGGAAGCAATCCTGCGCCCCTCATTGAGTTTTTTTTTCACAAAAAACAAACAAACTATGCATGATCGTATTTTATGAGGTTATGCATTCTAAGTATGACGCAAAAAAGCGGAAATGTAAACAATTTAGATATGCTCACGTGGTTTTATTTAGTTTACTCTTACGAGTTAGGAAGTAGTTTCTGAGAAGTACGAAACCAACCACAAGCAGAATCACAAAATTAAAAGTAACAACTGCTGTGATAGGACCGATGAAAGACCAGCGAAGTGTTTTAGGACCAATACATCTGAAAAATAGGAAAGGTAGTAAAACAAATGCAGTACCACAGTTGTCTTGTTAACTTTCACTATAGAGGTATGACCTGATAAACGACAGCATTCTAGTGCTATTGACAGAAAGATACATGTAATGATAGTCAACAAGTGACCGCTTGATACAATTCATTTTCTATTTTCTGAGTATTACTGTTGTACAAACTATCAGCTATGTAACAACCTGTTTAAAATCTCAAAAACTACACTATCTAAATAGTCTATACTATATTTCCTGTTTTAATACATGATTGGGAATGGGAAAGCAAATGAATATTGATACAACAAGAGGGTGAAGAAATGTACAAAGTTATACTAGAAGTTACATCATGTTGACCGCCACAGTAGTGCAAGTGGTTGAATAAATTTCTTTTAATTCAAAGGTTCGGTTGGTAAGAGTGGATTGCAATCGCCTGTGCTGTATAAAATAAACGAATACGTAATCCATCCGGTAAACTAATTTGTATATACGAAGATCCTAATTTACGATCAAACATGAAGATTACTAGTCATAAACTAGACACACGGTTGGAAAACATCCACACTGAAACAATTAACAGTTGGAAAGCACCACTACACACTCACCGACCTTGTTCACATCCGTGCAGTAGGCAATGAGCCATACCTATTGTGTGAGGGGTAGTGATACTACCTGGCTGCCCAAACCTCAGTAGGCGGAGGGCCTCGAACTCGTGAACCAGTGGTTGATAGTCATCTCCCTAAACCACTAAGCCACAGTTCCAGCATTTAGAAAAAACGCTATGGCGAATGAATGTTTCAATGAAATGTCAAGTCATTTTGGAACATTATTTGAATAATGACATTATGAAAGTAAATCACCTTTATTGAACTAGCAAATATCTTATATTTCTGAAAAACACAAGAACACTAAACTTTCGCCTTAATCACTGCTACTTACTTTCTCACTTACAGTATTATTAAGAATTTCAAAATTACTACTCAACTGTAGTAAGTAAACCAAAAATCTCACATAAAGCCGGCAAAGAAGTAAAGAACCGAATGAAGTAGCATTTAACTCACAAACCACCGTTACTAATTTCACCTGTGTACCCAAACCATATTCCGATGATAACAGCAGGAGTCAAATAGCCAATCCAAACCAAAGAAATGCAGTTTTTCGGTTTAGAGACAAGATCATGGAAACGAGAGTGTGGTGCAACGCTACAGCAGAGATTAAAAGAAACACGGCAAAAAAAATTCATAGTAGATTATCATAAATGCACTCTAAGAATAACTGTATGGATATAATGAACACTGACGTTGTAGAAAACGAGAAGATTGAGAAGAAGGAAGGAATGTTTATTGTCAACATCTTGTACAGCAATTGTCAAATATTGTACGCTTTCCGCTAAGACAGTCATTCCCGCAATGTGCTTCATTTCCACTTCGGCTCCTATCTTGATATACTCCTAATACGCCCGCCTTCTCTTGCGTTTCTCTGGGCAGAATCATTACCCATTGCTGATAATTCCCTATGATTTCTGCCGTCATCTCAACGTATACTACTGATATCCATTCTGATCAGCAGCGACCACTACAATGTAACTAACGCAACATGCTTTCAAGTTCACTTAGGACAGATGAAACACTAGAAAAAACTCAGAGTTACAGAAAATAATACTTTCTTAGTTACTTGCCTAACTCCTAAGAAAATTTCATGTGGATCAGTGTAATCCATATGTATTATTCTGAATCATTTACAAGACCAGATGCTTACTGTAAGTCCTCCGTTAACTGATCACCATATATTTTTGATTGAGACAAGGATTCTAAAGTGCAAAGTGCACGAACTTCATCATTGTTGCGAAAAACGAATATTAAAAGACCCAGTGAGTAAACCGTTTAGGATTCCTGGAGTAACGCAGTATCTTTTTTCAACTATTTACTACAGACAAATTTTCTTAATTACTGTAGATTACTGATTTCCGGATTTTAAACGAGGACAAATGACTAGGCAACATGAAATACACAGAGCTAACGATACCGTTTTAATACAGAGAATTTACTGCGATTTGGAATCATGATTGCAATCTTTCTTTCATGCACAATAGAAGTTGGTTTCGGAATTCGCTCTTATTGTACGAGCTTGTATAGCTGATGAGGCCATTACAAGAGCATATGAAATTACAGTTAAATAATTAGACAAACTATCCTACGGACCTACTGATGGGTAACCCTTTGTTTATAATGAAGTGAGGATTCAGCTGCAGAGGTTATCAGCTAGTGCACCATTTACGCTTTTCTTGGCGGAGCTATATCGCTAATCATGGTCTCAAATATATTATCGGGTTTCGGAAGCTGGAAGTTGTCCATTACAAACTGCAACAATAAACTTCGGTTTTCTCAGTCAACAGTATACAACAGTAACATGGAACAGTTCCATGTGGTTGGCTGATCACTTACGGATAACATACTGATTTCCTTAAGTTATCTGATACTGAAAAAGGTCTCACATTTTGGAAGCTACGAGTAAACTGACTCCCCAATGAAGAGTCTTTTTCATACAAATCGGCAGAACACACGACGGGACTTTATAAACTCAAATGTGCAGGAAAACCATACACACCGATCGAATTTTGAATTACAACAGCAATCATCCTACAGTCCATAAGAAATGCTGTGTACAAACATTATTCCTCAAGAGTGAAAAAAATTGCAGCACTGAAGCACTATGGAAAGTCGAAAGAAATGCCTGTACAGTGTTCAGAACCAATGATTATTCAAAAATTGTTGATTAGCAGGACAGAAGAATTACTTCAAGTTAATAGGCACGTTACGTTACCCTACATCTCAGAAACAGCCAACCGATTGTTTCATCCTTTTGGAACTGGAGTAGTACACGAACCAACGAAATGAATACACAGCATGCTGTGCAAATCAAAGGATCCATTGGCAAAAGATGGGACAAATATAATATACAAAATCAATTGCAAAAATTGTTCTTAGCATCATATTAGCGAGTTTAACCATCGGATTGCTCAGAACGTTTATGAACACCAACTAGCAATAAATCGACAAGACACGGCCTTCTTGGACCAATACATGCTGACAATCACGACCACAAATTCGACTGGGAGAATGTAGAAATCCTCGAAAGAGCAGGTTCGAAAGCAGCGAATTTCTAGAAGCATGGCATTCAAACAAAAAGTTAGTCAGCGGACATACGGATATAGACGTTATCTACACCCTAATTAGGAAGAAAACTGTCATCCAACAACCAAGGACGAATTGACTAAACAAATCGATAATTATGTACAGTGTGACAACAAAAAACAGCACAATTTCACTTCGTAAAAGTTTATTTACGAACATGACCGAAGGATACTTAAGGTCAAAAAGGTCAGAGTGTGATAAAAAATCTCTTCCACGACTTACTACTGGACGACACCCAAGGCTAATGAAAACACTATTCAAACATTCGTATAACATACTATTTATTGATATACTTGCAATTCTCCGCTGTTTTATTCTATCGAATTGTTCGACCAAATCTGTGTCACCAAGTCTGATGATGACAAAATGTCAAAGCTCAAAGAACATCAAAACACCATCATCCTCATTCTAAGCTACAAAGCTTTCCCATCATTTCAATATTTCAGCTTCACATCACTTGGAGTTTCTTTCCGGGTTTTTCCATATGATAGCATACAAACTAAGTAAATCCTTCAAAATTAGTATTTTGAATTAAGACACGTACTAAATAGTTGTTATAACTACTAACCAGGTTGAAATTTCCCAACATACAGACAAAAAGGACGAAGCAAACTTGAATTTAACAAGGAAGATTTTAGTTTTTTTCAGAAACGTGCTGAAGCAGAGATATGGCTCGCTAACCAGTACATTTGACTGTCAATAAGTAGATTTGGAATTCTTCATTCACTCGCTTAAACTACTTGGACCGAAGTGAGGCTCCCTTAGCAGCTATGTGCACTATGCGACGAACCATGCACCTATTGTGTAAGGACTAATGTTCCTACCCGGTTGCGCAAACCTCAGAAGGTGGAGGGGGCTTCAAACCTATAACCCATTGGTTGAATGTCAGATGTTTAGACCAGTGAGTCACAGCTGGTTAACTGGTACAATCTGTTTATTGGGTTTTGATTACTAAGGAGGCTGAACAGATAGTGTACAACAATTAAATTGTTTATCTTGGTTTTTATTTTTTCACTTGTATTTCTTTAAATTGAACTGTATGAAAAAATAATCACATTGTGGTTCATAAACATTTATCTTCGATAGATGTCTTTCAAAGACTGGGTATGTGGAATGATTTATATAGTGTGACGGAATATCAGAACGACGATAAAACTGCTTGGAGTAAACAACACTTAACACGAAAACAATAAGTGTTAACGAATACAAGCTGCACTTACATCAACACTAATGTGTTCAAACCAAAGATAAACTTCCAGGAAAAAGCAGCCAGTGGGAAATAACAGACAGCAACGGCGATCATTGTGCACAAAATAGGCTGCTTATCTGTCGTATGTGGAATCGTCAAAGAAACGACTGAACTTATCATTAAACAGAAGGCAATGTTGAACTGATCTAGTCGGAAAATCCCACTGAAGAAACGATACAACAAATAGGATGTGATAAACACTTATTATGAATGCATGAAATAAACTGCAAGTTTAACAAAATCACTGACAGAAAAGCGCAGATATTCAGAAAGGTGACATAAGAGAATGGTGAATCGGTTTAATAATCTCATTCATAGGAAGACGAGGTACTGAAAATAGAAGATATACCGGCTGGAACACACCATAGAGTAAAATATCTAACCAATTAGTACGAGTAGTCTATTGCTATGTCGACGATTGAAAATGAAAGCAATGACTATATGGAGTTTAATAAGTGGTATGGAAAGTTACACCAGACTGTAATCTACCTCCTAGAGAGAAAAAAACAAACAGCAAACAGCTTATGCTTGTAAGAAGACCCTATAAAGCAAAATACCATTGAAATTTTTATTTAAGTATACTATCAACGAACGAAAATAGTTGACCCAAATCCTAGTATGTGACTAAATATATATCAGTTTGTTGAGAGCGAAATAAATAAAGAATCTTACCTAGTATATGCATCGAACCGTTTCCGGATCACATATAATGTAAAAATGACCGAGTTTGCTTGTTTTATTGATACTTGTAATTTACCGTTTTTATAATAGATCGAATTAGTCGACCTCTGTTGGCGGATGGACTTCTGTGGGGATGGCTTTGATATTGTCTGAGTACTCATGATGCTATAACTTACTTGGCGATGGTTAGCAGTGGATCCCGTTATGCAACTCTTTCTGTTTTTGAGACTCATCAGCTGGATGTGACTGTACCCCAGTGGGTGATGACGTTCCCATTAATACTCAAACCAGGATCGATAGCATCGAATACCACAGCGTCATCCACTAGATCACTGAGGCACGAGAACCACACCTTGTACAATGGGTATCACTTATATTTATTCATTGATATTCCCGCACCTCAGTAACCTAGTGGGTAACGCTTCGGCACGAGAAGTGATGGGTGCTAGGTTCGCGTTCGAGTCTTAGCGGGAACATCTTCACTCACAGGAATGCAGATAATGTCCACCTGACAAGTCTTAAATGAGACAAAATGCGAGTTTGTTTCCTGTTTTTAGCTATCTTGGAGTAACAACAAATTTTGAGAGGAAGTCCATTAGCACTACCTGGTTCGGTGGAGTTGGATTAATCCCACAACGACTGTCGATGTGAATTATACAATAAGATCTGCGTCAATGTTCCTAAAGGTATGTTCGCAATAAACGTGTACTGAAATACAGTGATGTACTCAGATGAACCAGATGAATCAAAGCTTCCATACTTAAATACAAGAAGTGGAACGCAAATTTTTGTCGTCCTAAGGAAAATAAAGAATAGTGGACGCAACTTCAGTTTTAGTGTGTGTACCTTTGATACACCATATGTCGATCACCCGAGTTAGTTACTTTAAGAAAACTAAAAGAAGGAAAAAGCATCTGTTATTTGCAAGATTGATTTCGGTAATATAGAAACAATTAGTAAGTTGTTTAATTACCAGTTAATGTTAAGTTAGTCCACCCGTTTACGCTTATGCATTAAAGCCATTCAATAATAGTAGGGCTATTAGCAACCGTCACAAATAGAAACAATTTTGAATGAATTAACAGTCGTTATTTTCGTACAGAACTCCACATTTTCAGTTATTTCCCTATAAATTACTGTATGGTCCGTCATAACGACTATTTCTCACTAACAATATAAATAATAAAACCAAGATGATAGTGCATTCTTAAGTTGATCAAATTCCCCTTAGAAAATGCATCTACTCTGAAGTTTGAGTGACAGCTTCTTACTAAAATTATAACGTGATAAGCATGTTTTTGCTACTGTTTAAGTGGATACAAGGAAGTAATGAATCCATCTAACAATCTTGAGCAGAAAGGTTATATTACTGAGAGGAAACTCATAACTGTTTTGAAATTATTTGTTCTCTGAGTTAGCGCAAGTTTCAATATCATGCTACAATCACCATCAGTGGATTGGAATTTCATCGTAGGAGTTTTCTCATCAAGACAAAACAGCAGGATATTACTTTTCCAAAATGCGCAACCATGCATACAAGTAACAGTTCGTGCGAGCATCTACCGTAAGTCATGAAATTGGGATTAACTTCCAATTAACTCAAGCGCATTATGCACAACAAGCTATCAGTACGATGAAAAACCAGTTCAAATTAACAGTAGCTTCCAAAACAAAGTCATTTGATTATACAATGAAAATGACTGAATAAAAAGATATTCGAAACGCAAAAACTAGCAGCACATTAGAAATATGACACTACGATCTCTGGTTTCATATATGGGATGAAGTGTAGTTGTGTACAACTATTATTTAACTGCAGTCAATATTGGAAAACTGTATGCACTACACATCACAAAGGAAATTGAAATAAACAAAAAGTCCAAACTAAAACAACTTTGTTAAATTTGCCCAATAACATTTTTTCGATAGTGCAATGAAAAAACATTAAAACTAGTACGAAAAAGAATAGCAACTTACATGAAGCGAGTAAATATAAGGAACAGGAATAAAGCGACAATGGTGATCAAGGTAAATATATAATTCACAATGCTTATGGAATATACATGTGTAAACGGAATCTGCAAATAAAGAAAAATTTTAGTAATAATCAAAATTTAAAAGTTTTGATGAAGGACTGAGAGGACTGGCTTGATGAACATGAAATACATTGTACTGACAAGCACAAACACTTAAAGTCTAAAAATGCAAAACAGATATATTTAACCTATCCGGAACGGAAATTTTTAGGAAAATATATGGTAACATTTACATTTAGGTGTTGTTGAGATTGTTATCAATAAACTCACATGTGACACACCTAACCAGTAAACCAAAGCAACAGCAAATGTTCCGTCTTGAGATGGAAGACACTGGCATTCAAAATATAGACCAACGACAACAGTTTTGCAATTCCCTTCATTCCACATTTCTGTAAAACCACTAATAATAAAGAAGAACATAGTAGTACATCTAATCCCTAATTCTTTTTAGAAAAAAACTGAGTTTGCAAGATACTAAATAAATGCTGAAATGGTACCTAACAGAAATATTCCCAAAGTAACCCGAACTACTATTCAAATGTAAAATGAGAAAAACAGAAGAACGGCATAAATGGTAGAAATTAAATATTACAATGTTTTAAGTGAATAAAGTCCTCATAAAGTCACTGTGGACCCCATATGTTCTACAAGGAAATACAATACGGTAATCAGTAAATCCAGAAGAATACTACGAACATGACAGAACTAGAGTCAACATAAATGGATCTTCCAAAATGAACATCAAAATGCTAAACAGGCCTTAATTTCGCCCTATCCACTGAAAATTCTCCTCACCCACAGGATGAAGAACTAACTGATATCGTCAGGGAGTATATGCAAAATTATATATTCGAATCCTAAACCAAATACAGCCAGAAAGACTGGCTTATTATTTTAATAATATGTAACAGTTTGAAACAAAGATTAATTAATCTGCACTGGTTAGTTAGACTCGTTGTTTTTCCTAAAAACAGTATACTTCAAGATTCAAAGTGTAGAATGTTTCTTTAATTCCCATTGAACTGTTTTCTGAGCTGAAATATTAGTTGGCAAACATCTTATCTCTCACAAGACGACCTAATATTTAAGGCCTCTTCATTTTTACATAGAAGACATCTTTTGTAGGTACATAGATATCATCAATTATTACTTAAATAAAAAATAGCTTTACAGAATTATCAGTCTAGTACTAAGCTGCGTTAAAGGGAGACAACCAACAAAGAAACTAAGTGATTCGAAAAACATGACATTCATTAACTTTTCATCAAGATAAATTGAACGTCATACACAAAAGAATGTAAACAGTTAGTTCAAAATCCTAAGTCTTCAATACAGATTTCATTAAAGTCGACTTACGCACTTCGTTGGAGTTGTTCGCATGATACCGAAACATTTGGTTTCTATAACACAAACAGCAATCAAAACAAGAGCAGACAACCAAAATTAGTAATATTGGTGACACATGGAGTATTGCAAAGTCAGGTGCTCTAAACAGCCAAATTCAGTTAAAAAACAAAGGGAATAGTTGTAGAACATTTCTAGACTTGCTTATTATAAGCCAACCGTTAATTAAAGTTTCCAAACAGATTTCATACACACGGTTTCTCATGAGGTGGAAAGCACATGGAAAATTTCCACACTCAGTATCTTTGACCATTGCGACCAACAAGCGAACTGCAATAACGAAGCGTCAGATTATGATTTCAATTCAAGATCAGAAGAAAATAATTAATACATAAACCAAGAAGGAATCAAAGGAAATTAAAACCCTTAACAAGTCCGAACTAAACTATACACAACAGAAACTTGTAGTAAATCGATAAAGGCAGTAACGAAACACCGTGGAATTCACCAACAAACCCATAGATAGACGGAAGACAAAATATTCCAAACTATGAACCAGTCTACTAACTGACGTCAAAGAAACTTGACATAAAACGAATGTATATTCTCCATAAAATAAATTCATAAATAGACAAGTGACATAATATTGCAGTGGGCGTTACTGATCAGAATGGACATAAGTAGTCATGGTTGTATTGTGTTATCTGAGCTGGGTTGTTTAATCCTCAGATTCAACAACGATTAAACAATCCAGCTCAAAGAACACAATACAACCAAGACCATCCACCTGAGATATAAATACTCTCCACCATTTCAGGACATAAGCAGTATTAGTTGAGAAGGCGGCAGAAATCATTCGGAATTACCAGCATAGGTACGAATTCTGCCCAGAGAAACCCAAGAGACAACGCGGGCATATTAAGAGCAAATCAAGATAGAAGCCGAAGAGGAAATGAAGCACATTATGCGAATGACTGTCTTAGTCCAAGGTGTACCATAATTGATGACTACTGCACAAAACCCCAATAATAAACATTCCCTCCTTCGTCTCTATCTTCTCGCCTCCTTCAATATCAGTCCTTGAATACTCAAATTTCTTTGGAGTATCACTCATTTCTTATGTTACCTCATCTCCTCCCTATGTGGACTAAGGTTTACAACACATTTAATTAGTGAAGATTGTTGGTATTAACCTCCTGTCCAGGCCGAAGTAAGTGGAGTGGGATTTGGACGACTTAGGTCTCAGCTTGTTTCGAGTATAAGTAAAAAGATAATATGTTAAGTGCTTCCATTTCTGAATCGGATACACAAGCTGCATTTTATTCCGAATGGCTCTATAATAATCAAAAAGTAACTCAATACAACATTGCACACTTGTTTGCAAAAATCTAATACACGGAAACTATTCAACAACCGTATGACCCTTATGGCCACCGTATTGCAAAACTGGACCAATTTATTTCCAAACACCAAACACTACACTCAGTAGACTGAATAAGTAAAAATGCTTATCCGCCTTTAATCACCTCAAAAACTCTTCAATGAAAGTCATTCAACATGTTGTTACAGATGGACACAATATAGATGCAACATACAACAACTTATGCAAAATCTAGTCTAACACTCAGCTCTTTCCTGATAGACGAAAAGCATCCATAATCCTGTTTGAACCAATGTGGGCAGTGCAATGATCGACCACACAGACGATCTTACGATACATCGTGTACACATTACTCTGAATAATTTATTGAGCGCAGCATCATCAGGCTTACAAACTAACTACATTCCTCAAGACTTTCATTTAAGGGAAAATCTCTAGGTGCGTATACTGCTTGAGATGCGTCATCACAGTTTGACGTGAAACAGAAAACAACAATTAGATAATTCGTTCACAAAATGAATGGCATTTCGTCAGTGCTACTTCACATTTCACATCGAGCCCGAAGGAACATGACTATGCATCCCACTCAGTACACCTACTAGCATTTCAGTAGTACATCACCGAGTCATGAACAAAACTGAAAACAACTAGAGAAGCAAGCTCACACTTACAACACAAGGGGGCACTATACGTATGCATATATATATATATATGCACCACGAGTTAGGGGTACAATAAAACCCTACCAACAGAAAAGTTAGAACTAGAAATACAAACTAGAAAAACAACCCATGAATACTTAAAACATGAGAAATTAAGAAATGAAAAGACTGGATCTACCTGAAAAACATGCACTAAAATTACTTTCATGATGTTTGTAAAAGAAATTGCGCTGCATGAATAATTAGAATAAACAAATAAATGAGCAAATGATGAACTCTGATAAAAACACCCAACGAATGACATTCATTACTTTAAAAGCAAATATCACTTCCTAATCAGTCAAAAGTTGAAGCATAGTTATAAGGCAAAGTTATCAACCTAAAACTAAAACAGAACACACAACAAAAGTTTATCAGTTTCAGTTAGAACACTTTGAAACAGTACAAAAACTGGATATCGCCGGAGTTGTTGGAATAATATTAAAAATAAACAAAATGTACGAGAGGATAGATCAATGAAGCGTAACAAAATGCTCACAACCGCAGAACTAAACACAAGTGAACACATCTGTACTACTGTGGGAGATTGAGAGCCATAGTACTGAGAAGCGGCAGCTAGTGATACGGACACTTCGTGGATCAGTTCGCTGTCATGGTTTAGGAATTAAGTAAAGAGTAACTCACATGGTTCGATGAATTACAACGAATGTGAGCGATAATAAAAAACGAACTTAGGCAAACGAAAAAAATTGACAAACTATAACCTGAGATAAATCCACAGATACAGTGAACGATACACCGCTACTTGTGTCGACCAAAACAATATCTGAACCTATTAATTGACTTCTATCAATTTTTCGTTCAGCACTGTCCACTTTAGTCAGAATGATCCCAGGAATTTTGGCAGTCGGAATAACAGCGACGACAGCATCTCGCGCCTCTGCAAAATAATTACGAAATAAATACCAACAAGAGAGCAATAAACCAAATTCTAGATTATTCAAAAAACAAACAAACAACTAATACAGCAACTACAAGAGCAGCCAGTTACTGCGAGGAACGGAAGCTCTAAGTAACTAAGCATCGGCTAATAGCTATACTGGTAAGACAGCTGAAAGAAACCTTTGAAGAAATTATATTTTATATGAAACACAACATACAAAATGTTCCCATCGCAGATCCAGATACAATTCAGAAAAGAGCAGCAGCAATCATTACAATACGCCTGGTCAACTAGTTCACTAGTTACTAGCCGGTCCTTAGCCCGGATTAAGAGGGAAGTTTGAGTATAGGGCTACCAACCCTACCCCGTAAAACCAATCCAACCGCTACAGAAACTTCAAAGCACAAAGTAAATATAAGAAATAAAATTAAACTTGTTCCTCGCTGGAATCGGAGAGACGAAATGACGCCGGTTGGTGAAAGCCTTCGGGAAGCCAATTGCCCGATGTGTCTTCTCTCTCGATGAAAGCGAAAGTAAACATCGGGACATGGAATGTCTGCACTATGTTTGAACCTAACAAGGCTGCCCAGATTGCAAAACAGATGAGAAGGTATAGCATTGAAGTGCTAGGAATCTCCGAAAGCAGGTGGAATGGAAGTAGACTTTCCAAACTGTCAACTGGAGAGTCGATAATCTACTCCGGTATTGTCACCCAGACGACAACCACGAGCGCACTGAGTACAATGCTATGCTACGCTACGCACCTACAAATAATGCAGATGAAGAGAAGAAGGAGGGATTCTACAGACAACTGCAATCAGTACTGGAGAAGGTATGAATGCCGAACTCGGAGCAAACAACACAGGAAGAGAACTCATCATGGTTCGAGAAGCACTCGGAGAAATGAACGAGAATGGAGAACTGTTCGCAGAATTCTGTGAATTCAACGATTTGGTGATTGGAGGCACTGTGTTTAAGCACAAAGATATCTATCCACAAAGCGACATGGATTTCACCAGACACCACGATACACTAAAAATCAGATCGGCTTTATCTCAATCTCAAGAAAGTGGAGACGCAGCCCACTTGACACATCACCATCATTATCAACATAGGACCAGGCATTACTGCGTAACGGTCCGAGTTGCCACACCTTATATCAGCACACCAAGTAAAAAGGTAGTGAGGTGAAGGATGAAGATAAGTGAATGCAGTCAAAAGAAATATAAAGTACGAAAAGAAAAGAAAGAGGAGTGACAAAATAGTGAGATTCGGTATAATGAAGTTAAGATGAGGATAATGTGTGTATACATCTGCGCCACTGACTTCGGTTCTGAGCCATATCACCTAGGGTCTCCAACCACTGGTTCCTCTTGTCCCGTCGACCCCAACCACCTAGTCTGCATCGTCCTATATGGCTTAAACCAACAGTCGGAGACTTCATACATTGATTGGCGCCATGTTTTAGTCTGGCCACCTCGGGCCTTTTTCCAGCCTGGACCCACCTCAGCCAACATTGTGTGACGAGGCAATCGATGACTAGGCATACGCAGTACGTGTCCCAACCATCTCAGTCGATGAAGGTTCACAACCTCGTCAACTGACTTACCTCTTCTCCCCAAAACTCTACACCTAACTTCTGCATTACTCACATGGTGACACCACGGAATACGTCCTATATTACGAAGGCAACGGTGATCAAACACCTGAAGCCTCTTTGTATCTTCCACTTTCAGTGGCCATGTTTCACAGCCACATAGTAGAACAGAGCGGACTGCTGTGCAGTACACGCGACCCTTAATAGACAAACGAATATCACGGCGGCGCCATAGGCGGCGCAAATTGGCAAAAGCCAATCGAGCCTTTTGTATCCGTGCAGAAATCTCATCAGCAACTAACCCACCAGGGTTGATCCTACTTCCCAGGTAAGTGAAGTGGTCAACACACTCAACCACTTCACTCTCTATTGTTAACCGCGATACCGCTAAAGACCAGTCCTGGAGCAAAAATTTGCATTTGGGTGGTGAAAATCGCATCTCAAGGTCAAGAAGAGAAGCAGATGCAAGTTCAGACCACTGTCTAGTGCAAGAAATCTTCCAAAACAAGTTAAAAGCCTTCAAGGAAGTTAATGATAGACTACAGTTAAAGTTCAACACCTAGAACAGAAACTGAACTGAAGCACAAAACCACAAGAAACATCTCATATCAGCAATCAGGATAAAATGGCAAAACAGAAGTCCCGAACGCCATGAAGTTTCTGAAATGCGGGAAAGCAGCGGGACCAGATAGAATTCCGCCAGAAGCACTGAAAACAGACGCAGGGACAACAGTGGGCACGCTCACACCACTATTGCAGAAGGTCTGGAAGGAAGGGAAGGTATCTGCCGATTGATTTGAAGATGGGCTACATTGTCAAACTCCTGAAGAAGGAAGACCTAAGTCTTTGCAAGAACTAGTGCGGAATCATGCTCCTGTCTCTGTCCACCCAAAGCAAGCAAAATATTAAGCCGCATCATACTAGAGTGACTAAAGGATGTGCTGGATTCAAAACTACGACCGGAACAGGCTGGCTCGATTCAGGATGTACATATCATGTATGGACCAAATTGCAACGCTACACTACGCATCATCATAGAACAGAGTATAGAATGGCAGTCAGTCCTCTACCTCAACATCATCGACTTTGAAAAGGCCTTTGACAGCGTCGACCGACAAGTAATTTGGCCGCTGCTTCAACACTACGGAATACCACAAACCTTTATCAATCTCATTCAACAACTATATGAAGACGCCACATGCCAAGTGATTAGCAATGGAAAGCCCAGTGAGGCCTTCGAAGTGAAGGCAGGAGTAAGACACAAGGTTACCCACTATCACCAATGATCTTCCTGATTGTGGTCGACTCGACTGGACTGCACTGGGTCATGCAAGAAACTGTGAGGAGCGAGAAGATGGGTATACGCTGGCTGGACCGCAGAAAAGAACCTAGAAGATTTGGATTTCACCGAGGACTTGTGTCTAATGTCACACAAAGTTGGAGATCTACAGGGAGAAACCAACAAGTTGACAGAAGAGGCAGCGAAGGAAGACAAGACTTTAAGTGAATGTAGAGAAGACAGAGGTGATGATGATACCCAACCAACACCACCAATAACAACAACAAGCTCCAATCATCATCAACGGGAGAAACTTAAAGGAAGTAGCCTCTCTCACCTATCTAGGCAGCACTATTTCAACCACAGGTGGTACACATGAGGACGTCAAAGCAAGGATCAGAAAGACAGCAAGACAGGTGTTCATCAATCTGAAATCGGTGTGGGGATCTACTGCACTCAGCATATGGCGTGAACAAGATCCGGATTTTCAACACCAATGTCAAGTCAATGCTTCCATGTGATGGTTGAGAGACTTGGCGCGTTACGAAAAGCATTTTCAACAAACTACAGTCACTCATCAACGGCTGCCACCTACTCTCACTCGATACTGAAGATCAGATGGCCAGAAGGAATAAGCAAGGAGGAATTCCTTCTTGCTGGCAACGAAGCAACTAAGCAAGAAGCTGTAACGCAACAAATTTGCAGAAGGAAGTGGAGATGGATTGGGCATACACTGAGATGGCCGACTTAGGACATCACGCGCCAGACCAGGCCGTCGACTGGGACCCAAAGGGGGAACGACGAGTTGGGTGTCCGAAGGTGACATGGGGGAGATCGTGTGAGGGAGAAATGAAAGCTTCTGGGCAGTCGTGGAGCCAGGTTGAAGAGACTGCAGAGAACAGAGTGAAATGGCGACGTGCTACTGAAGCCCTATGCTGCACTATGAACCCAAGGGACAAATAACAGTAATAATAACAACAATAGTAATAAGTCCGAAAATTTTGGCGATACAACACATGTCGTGATGCTCAACAGAATTCATGGTGTCAAAATATGACGTGCGAATTACATGAAGCTAGTTCAGAGAGGGATGCAACTGCCTCACACAAAAACCCCAAATTGTTACTAAAACGTCTTATATTATGAAGCCCGACTTTGAAAACTTAGTCAATGAATTAACATACAACTAACAGTGAGTCTACTCTAATAAACAAAAATAATGTTTAGACAAGGGAATTTTTTCAAGTGAACTCAAAGGAAGAGAATCACACTTGACTAGGCCAAGAATTGTGAGTTATTGGGACAGAAGTCAACCATATGGAAGGCCTACCAATCTTTTCTGATTTCTTAGTTAGGTCCATAGACGTTATTATTTTTGCTGTGACACCACTTTTTGAACAAATAGGATTACTACAAGTGTCCGATATCTATTATAAGTATTCACTCATCCACGAATCTTTCGAAAGTTACCAGCAAAAGTATCACACCGGCTGTTGATATCAGTCACAGACTATTGTCTCTATTTTCTTGACAGATTCATTTATTACAGTTTGAGGCTTAACAGGAATAAGTGAATGATTCATTCAGTTAAAAGTGTACGCAATCCACAACCAGTGATTTTTAGAAAAAGTTAGTGCAACACTAGTGTTACATTGAACTCATATTCTGGTATATACGACAATATAATGAAAGTACGGTGAGTTGAACGAGACAACGCCCAAAAGAAGACGTCCTTTCTCTAGGAGGTTGTCTCTAAATGAACATTTAAAATAAGTAAATTTGACTTTATCTAAAATACCAGAGATCTCATTTTTAGCTGCGTTCTGTCACTTAGCATTCTTAGTCATTATCTACCCCATGCAAGGTTAACTGTAATAAGTTTTAGCTAGTAAAATATTAGAGAGGACCAAACTTAAACGTGGCATCAGTTCATGAAGCCTCTGAGTATATACCCGAAAAGTGAATAATAATAAAAGTAATAATAATAATCACATTATTTCAATCAATTTGTGGCCCAATTTGCAATTCTCACCATGATATATTGCAACAACAACAAAATATATGTTTATACTCCTTTACAATATTTCTGATTGCGTTATCGTAAAAATTCAATTAATGTAAAGAATATTAAAAACGAGGACATTTTACATTGTTAATTAAATTATTGAAATGAGGTTGTTAACTGTTACAAAGCTGGTATGTGAGTTTTGTTCTAACACTTTTTTCCTCACATAATATGAGTGCTAGGTAAGGTACAAGCGAATTCTTGTACTTAGCTATACGAGCGTGCAGTCTTATGTAGTTTCTTCTTGTCCTCACTGAGGAGATACAAGAAAAGAGCTGTGGATGGAGTGGATGCTCAGCGTAGTTAAAGTTACTGTAGCCAGTTGCTTGCTAGAACTTAAATGTCTATCAACTACAGTGTTAATCAGTTGGGCCAGAGGCACACGACTCACCCTGCTGACGACTTTCAAAGCCCTGCGCAACCATAACACAGTTGTTTTCTAGAAAGCCAGGAAAGATCAACGGGGAACAACATAGAAGAATAGGTAAAATGCAGGAATCAAATTGTAAAATAAGAGATTAAGTTATACCAGAGAGCCTCAGTTTCTTTATGTAACACGTTAAACGAGAGATTTTTTACAAGTCAACAAGATATGAGAAGACCGACAAAGGTCAGGAGTGAAACTCAATCCAAGATAGTTAACACTTGATTTACTTTCTGCACAAATACCACCAATGCAACAGGCATTATGAGACTTCAGCAGCTCATACAAGTATTGTTTACGCCTGGGGGTAAAATTAACAGTCTAACATTTAGAAGGGTTTAACTTGAGACCATGTGAGAGAGAGGATTGGTCAATAGGAGACAAGAATCCATCTATTTCAGAGCAATCTAAATGACAGTTAACAGGAATAGACACCATCAGGTCATCAGCATACTTAATAAAATTAGTTTCAACAGAATAAGGTAAATCGTGCAAAAAGAACGAAAACAGAAAAGAAGAAAGTATAGCACATTAAAGCACACCAGCTTAAATAAGCAATGAAGTGGAGCGCTTTCCTTTATAAACAATGTACTACTTTCTTTCGGAAACATAAGAACACAGCCACTTTGCAACCTATGGCTCGGTACGAGCTTTGGCAAGCTTATTTAAAAAGAGTAGTCAAAGGCTGATGAGTAATCCAGAAAGGCACAACGGACATACTTAACACCTTTGTCTAGAGAGGAAACAATATTATGATAAAAGACAGTGATAGCATCTAAAGTACTTCTCCTGTATTTCCAAGCAAATTGTTTCGGATCTCTGGAAACCTTCAACGAAGGCTCAATCACAAGGAGAAGTAATTTCTCCAATGTCTTCGAAAAAGGGGGAGTTATAGTGATGGATCGAAACTTAACATCTGATCCAGAAGATGACTTAGGCAGAGGTTAAATTTGCCTTGAAGACTTTTAGCTTGATTTGGAAGATTTCTTGCACTAGACAATGGTCTGAAGCTACATCTGCTTCTCTTCTTGACCTTGTGTCAAGTGGGCTGCGTCTCCACTTTCTTGAGATTGAGATAAAGCCGATCTGATTTTTAGTGTATCGTGGTGTCTGGTGAAATCCATGTCGCTTTGTGGATAGATATCTTTGTGCTTAAACACAGTGCCTCCAATCACCAAATCGTTGAATTCACAGAATTCTGCGAACAGTTCTCCATTCTCGTTCATTTCTCCGAGTGCTTCTCGAACCATGATGAGTTCTCTTCCTGTGTTGTTTGCTCCGAGTTCGGCATTCATACCTTCTCCAGTACTGATTGCAGTTGTCTGTAGAATCCCTCCTTCTTCTCTTCATCTGCATTATTTGTAGGTGCGTAGCGTAGCATAGCATTGTACTCAGTGCGCTCGTGGTTGTCGTCTGGGTGACAATACCGGAGTAGATTATCGACTCTCCAGTTGACAGTTTGGAAAGTCTACTTCCATTCCACCTGCTTTCGGAGATTCCTAGCACTTCAATGCTATACCTTCTCATCTGTTTTGCAATCTGGGCAGCCTTGTTAGGTTCAAACATAGTGCAGACATTCCATGTCCCGATGTTTACTTTCGCTTTCATCGAGAGAGAAGACACATCGGGCAATTGGCTTCCCGAAGGCTTTCACCAACCGGCGTCATTTCGTCTCTCCGATTCCAGCGAGGAACAAGTTTAATTTTATTTCTTATATTTACTTTGTGCTTTGAAGTTTCTGTAGCGGTTGGATTGGTTTTACGGGGTAGGGTTGGTAGCCCTATACTCAAACTTCCCTCTTAATCCGGGCTAAGGACCGGCTAGTAACTAGTGAACTAGTTGACCAGGCATACACTGAGAAAGCCATTTAGGGACATCACGCACCAGACCAGGCCTTCGAGTGGAATCCAAAGGGGAAACGACGAGTTGGGTGTCCAAGGGTGACATGGAGCCAGGTTGAAGGGACTGTAGAGAACAGAGTGAAATGGCGACGTGCTACTGAAGCCTTATGTCCCACTGAGAACCCAAGGGACAAATAATAGCAATAATAATTCAATGATTTTGTTGTATTGTCCCTACATATTTCTGACAATCGGATCACATGAGTTAATGATCGGACTCATGTGAATTTTGTCAAAACTGATGGGTTTCAAGAATTTTTCACATAAATAGTGGTCGATTGGAGAACCACTGAAAACCTGGATGCACGGGGCAGCTATTAGTTACAATATTAGGATTCCTTACTGATGCATAGCCTTTGACTGCGTAAGTGACTCAGCTCAAGACAGTTAATTCTGAAAGCAAGCACTTTAATATTCAGTCACTGGACCGATATCTTGTGGTACGCTTTTTTCAATTTCTCCTAGTTCGTTAGGGATATATACATGAAAACTGAAAAAGGACAATTAAGTCAATAAAAATAGAGTTATAAAGATACTAGGCACGCACAAGAGCAGAATTTGGCAAACTACCCACAGCAAGGAAACTAAAACCACTAAGACTATAGTAGAGAACAACCAGATTACTTTTTTACACTGTAACCGTTAATCTTCCTTAGTACTAACACTATCCCACATGTCTGTCTGGTATAGTTGAAACTCGAGGGATCAAGCATTTTAGCCAGTGTAGCTCGTTGGGTCATTGTGATACGCAAGCATCACCACCATATCAAGGCAGCAGCAATAGGTGGGGTAAAATATGTGGATTAAAATATTTTTTTGTACTACATTTATTGTTCCTCTCTCCAACATATTTTCTATTGATTTGATAGAAAAATTTTAATTTCCGATAAATAAACCTTATGTGATCAGATTGCTCAAAATGTATAGCCCCAAAACATCATACTTTACAGATGCCATTCGTGTTCTCACCGGGGTGTTAACATTTGGGAGTATTTTGTGTTGCTGAAAAAAAGCATCACAATCAGCAAATTGTCGAGAACAGTATACAAGACGAATGAAGGTCGCCATCATTTGTTTTCAACACTGAAAAGTGATAAGCAGGACACTTAAATAAAAGAATTTAATTAACGAACTGGTTATTATTACATCAAGAAGACGAATTACATGAGGTGCAGTATCCTCATATTACTTTCGAAAGAAATATTTATGTGGAGGCAGAGAGTCGATAAAATGCCATAAAAATTCAACAAACTTACATACAAATGTTGACCAAAAAGAATGAATTGAACATGTTTAACAAACTAACCTGAACCCTTAGGTTTCGCAAACAGTTCGAGAACATTTCCATAAGAATTATTCATCGAAACCCTGGTGTCCTCCGATCGCAAGTGCTAAGAAAAACGAAATAAATTAATTTCCCGTTGAACAGTACGAAGAGCATGTATACTGTGGTAAGAAAACTTTACTGCATCCTTAACACGATGATAAGCATGCCTACAAAGCAACTGATACCATCAAATGAAATAGATACTTAAACAAGAAAATTCACGAAGTTCCAGCAACTCTCTGCCATTCCATGAAAGTAAATTAATCCAGGCAACCGGAAAGGTGATTCATGCAGTGCAACTAAACCCTTGCTGTGGGCACGTTGAACTTCAAAGCGATCCACTCAACTTTGTAACCAACTGATCATAAAGGTTATCACGGTCTAATTCTTTTCGGCGACAATCTCTAATCTCATCTGCTTCTTGCCAGCATTCTTAATAGACCTAGATAATTCTCAAGTGATACCTGACACTGATGCCTTCTCCAGCTCTCTTGCTCTTGCCACCCACCACTGCTGGCGATCATTGTGAAGACTCTCAGTCAATTTACGTTTAAGTTGCTTTCCCTCCTCCTCAGTGATCAGAGCCAGCTGGAATGAGTCTCCTCGTGTCCATCAGCTGTGATGTTACGGAAATCCATTGAAGTGGGTAACCAACTGTCTTCACCACTGTTTCTACACCAGACTGAATATCACATCAGGCTTCAACAGGATGAGCATCGCTGCCACGCTCAGTGATACGATGACTCTCCTCACACCTGAAGTTAATGCTGGCTAAAAACAACTGATAGACGAAACTACAAGAGATGATCATCATTATCTGTTTGTTAGTATGGGATTCCGTAGAGATATCGGCCAGATACCTTTCCAATTGTCTATCTTCCTAATTGAGCGTTAAGGTTGCCTGCTATCATCACGAGTTTATCTGAACGTTTTGTCTCATGTAGTGAACGTAACAGCTTTTTATCGAATTCGTTCATTACATCATCGGAACTCCAGTCAGAGGGGGCATGTAGACAGATATTGTGAATGGGCATAGGCACGTGTAACGGCCATCTCCAGTTCTTAGAGATCCATTCAGTCGGACAGCACACATACGCCTATTGGTTGGTATCCAGTAGAGAGCATAAAGAGAATTCCTCAGATCCACTGTGTGAAGTGAGTAGTAAGTGAATAACCACATTCGGGTCCTGTACGCATCTCAGTAAACCAAAGTGCATCCATGGCTCTAGATTTCAGTTCTTGCAAGAGATGCCTGTTATCCGATATCACATAGAGTTCGGACGTTGAGAGTTGCAATATGAAATTGGCAGTGTGGTTTGAGGAGACTAGGAACCATGTTTCGTTGACTTTGATCGTTGACAATGGTCGCAACATGACTTGAGGAAGCTATTTGGGGTATTATATTGACGATAAAACAAGTGGTGAAGATGAAAGAAAGAGTAAAGATGATAAGTGTATGTTGTGGTCATAGAGGACTGTCACTAAGCTAGAAGGGTGTACGCAGTCCTGTCCGCGCGGCTAGCCACACCATAGTTATGTTCAGGAAACACACTAGTATTGTTACATTACACACAGTCAACAGTAGAACATAATTTTCAAAACTCCAATATTATGTAAGCAATTTACACTGAGGGCAACAGCTTTCTCACCATTTTTCAATATCCAGCGAATAGATCTCATGTAGAGGGACTTCAAGTATCATTAGTACCAACCAGTATAGCTGGTTGAGTAACCGCAACAGGTGACCCTGATCACTAGGGTAAAGTCGTATTTACTGATAGAGAAAGACCTAATACCAACATGGTAAAGTACCTCTGCAAGACCGAATGTAAAAGCTCACTGTACTTCATCAAAAAACGACGTGTGATTCGATTAGATGAATGTGCTTTGGCGATATTCACTAAATAGTATTATAACGCACGGAGTAACGTAGAGAAATCAAAGTTAAAAGTGGTACACAAACGCAACACTGGACTTATCCAATGGAGAACTTCAAATAATCATAGACAGAAGATAAGATAGAAGATAAGAAGAAACGCACAAGCGACTCTACATTGAAAGTCATACACTCCCCTTTATACTTCACAGCAATTACTTATTTAAATAGCGACTGACAAAAAAATTTCCTAGGATGGAAAGTTACACAACAAACAGCTTACCAGTAACCGCAAATTATTCTGATTTTCTTCCCCAGATGCCAGCGTATTGATAAGAGTAGGAGTTTGTCGTGCAATTTCAGCGATTAAATGCAGAAAGACCCCCGCTGCTTGTAACTTTTTAGTGAGCGATGTAGATGGAAAATCAGAAGAACTCCTAGACCAGTTAATACTAGATTCAAAAACAGAAGGACTTTCATTCAAGGCGAATCTCATACTGTGAAGTAAGTGGAGCGCAAGTGAATGACGTTCTGAGCTAAAATATTAAGTGTACAAATGACCACACGCTAATACTGCGACTAACAAAGTACGTGCATTCGTTTACAACTGTGAAATAACTCAACGAGTTTCGTAAACACAGTAGAGGGTAGATGCATTGGACACTATTATCCTCAGATTGAAAATGAAATGAAATGCTTCAGCAGCAACAGTTACCCAGAAAAAACCTAGTGTGTATCTGATCCCTTAAAGTTTGATAAAAATACTTCACGAATCCCAAACTACACTGAGAAGTACTGCTGACTGAAACAGACACATAAAAACAAGCAACGAAGTATCCACCATGAAAAACACATTCTCAATTAAGTACTGCAACTATTCATAATGAAAGACACAACTACTACTGTGTAAACAGTTACCAGTTCGTATCAGAGTGCTACAAAATCATCCACAATATCATAATAATAGTGGAACGATGTCCACTATACTGTTCCCCTGCCACGATTAAATAGATAACCGCAATACACTTCCGCAGAATTCCTGATCATCCAAACAACTTGTAACTTTATCCACAAGCTCATACAAATAAGGACAACATTAACAATGGAAAATTGAAAGCCCTTATAATATCTCCTTGCAAACAAACAAACACGCTGGATAATAAACTTCGTACTCAATCACTACGTTCATCCGCATCATAACATTGCTTTTTTCTAGTCACTATCACTCCCAAGTTCGTCTCAATAACTAAGCTAATTTCTCTTCGCCGATCGTCACCGATTGCTACTCTCATCTGTTCGCACCGTTAGAAACTCCTGTCTTACAATATGGGATCTCAAACAGCCATATGAAGACACCACGTACCATTTACATATGCCAACCTCGACCTTCGAACCTCAATGTAGATGGCACAATACATAAGCACAACTACCACTACAAAAACCAAACCACTAATCCACGCGGAATCTGGTAAAGTAACACATTACTTCTTAGAGATACCTCGGAAGGCGTACTCAACGTGCACTAATCCGCGAACCTCATGACATCGGCGTTCAACCTTTCCAACACCACTACTACTGATCAAGTACGACAACACAATAAGTCAACTAGATCTACACTAACAATCGTCTATGGGATGCCAGAATGGAAGGTCTACTTACAGTAGAAAGCAGCTGACAAGATATACGGTGTCTCCTAGACACCTATTACCCACCCTACAGCAGTCAAGGATGACTACTATCATCAATTAATCACCCTTTCAAACCAAGTACACTCGATGCGCACCGTAGTGCTGGCTGAGAACTTGGATAAACAAGCTCAGCGTAGTTGCGGTGACCGATCAGGATAACCGGATAGTATTCTGGATAATCATGTTCTTCGTCGTCAGCTATTCACAGAACAGACTCTATTTATAGCCAGCTCCATTGTGTTAACACATCCCATATCTACTGCTCGAAACAGGACCAAAGCAAATTATACTGCAAGCAGCTACCAACGACATCGATGTACTAAGAGACACTGCTCTCTCTGAAGTGTCTGTCGGAGCTCTGGTCAGGCATTTTGTGACTTGATATTAGGTGTTAGACATCAGTCGACGGGAATTCCCCAAATATGTTTTGAGTTTAATATAAGTGTAAAACTTGGGCACTGTGGTAGAATGTAATTCCATATTAGATTTGTTTATTTGATAAAAAGCGCACAGTGATACAGTATAATTTACTTGATTACGTTTCGAGTATAAATTATTGCTCATAATCATATCAATGTAATCACACTTCTTTTGAGTTTGTTGGCAGACATTAAGAAGGTGTAGGTGCTACAATGAGCATACTACTCTTCTTTTGATGATTTAAAGCTATGTCACTCAGAAGAGAAGTCAGATATCTCACTGGTAAGCTATTTATACACCAACATATATGCTTTAAGCTGGATTATACAAGTGAACTGGTCACAAGGATAATCGATATCGCTGTTAATTAGGAAACACTCAGCCGTGATTGAATTGCGTCGATCAAGTTCACATTGTGGTCAGTCAGCCCGGTAACGTGATACTGGGGTGAAACCTTGGAAGATGTGTTAAATACACCTAGTATTTTTCGTTGACCAGAATCGTTGCACTGACGAGGATGATTTGTGCGAAATGTATCGCAAGTAAAATCAAAACTAAATACTGAGCTGCTACGAAATCAGGATTGGCTTTCCAGCCTGCAGAAGGTGTAGATGAATATTGACTGTAGCTACAAGATGATGCGAATACGGTGAGCAAAGAGGCTGGTAGCATAGAAGAATGACTTACTAACAACCAATGGGGTCTCTGAGGGTTACTGGCTACTTGCTGACAGTAATGTGCGATTAGAGTGGTGTGCATTAGCCAAAGATCACACTGCTCGGAGACGTTACGTGGGATTAGAGTGCTAGTTAAACCCCCAAACGCGCGATACAACAGGATGGTACAGAATAGCAGCGGTTCTTACTTGGTTAGGAGCACGGATTGATAATCAAATTTTTTTTATCGGACCAACATTAAGTACATGCAACAGCAATCACTTATCACTTGTGCCATATTCGTGACAAGTTCTACAACCCATACTACAGAGAGAGAATTAGAACTACATAAACCCAATCTCAAAGCTGTAGAGATATTTGGATTTCAATTTGGGAAACGAATAGTGTAGGAAACGTTATCTAGTATGTTATGCTGTTTTGCCGTGCACTATACTCAGTACATGAAATGAAATGGGATGACAATCCACAACGATGCCCAAGTTTTAATCTTATATAGTTTGATAACTCTTGAAATGATTGTAATAAACGAGGTCTAGTCAATGTATCGCACGGCACCGTGAGATGAAGGGTTGTTGCGTTAAGTTAGTATCAACTGGTGTACACTGACCTCTCAGATGAGGTTTGTGAAATTATGCGAAACGTCATCAGATATAAGCAAAAATCGAAACCAATGGTAATAATTCTTGAACTTTCTAGTTTCTGCTGTAATGAACACGTAAGAGTTGATCTTGTGAGAATGCTTTTTTCATAATTCATTCACTTTTCAGTCTTCCATTTTCTTTGCTTCCTTTTATATGTCTTTCGTGTCTTTACAATGCTACTATACAAATCTATGTATTGCATTTTCGGATGCTAATGCTGTACCATATTTGTGTTTTAAGTAGATGATAAGTAAATAACTACTGAATCTTAATCATCATCTGGATACTCAACGGTTACAAATTAAACCGGACTGCACATTTAAACTGCCAAAAACATAATTCCATAATACACGTGTTACTTACCTACTGCTACCAGTAAGCTGTTGCCGTATTTCACTATCCGTGAGTTTAGAGGTGAAGTTCAGAATATAATCTGGATTCAAACGATACAATGTTTTGGCATTGTAGGCGATACTCCGAACACTCCTCCCATAGTCCTAAATGAGAGAGAAGCATTTCGAAAGAGTACGAAACAATGCGAAAAATGTAATGAATGAAAATGATGAGAATATACGCATTTTATCGGAATCAGAGTCCACTCAGTAACCACATCCCGTGACCTGTCGGTTGGAAATCAGGTGGAAATCATGTGAAGAAAAGCAGTGTTCAGGTTTTGTCTACACAACGCACTCAGTTGCTAGTATCTAAAAACCGGCAAAAAGCAGCACATCCCGTCCAGTCCATCAAAGTAGAAGGAAAAATTACAGAGAACAAAGTCACTTAAACGTAAAGCATCCTAAGGTTGTCTAATTATCGATAGAAGTGACGGGCTGTTGTTAAGTGTGTTCTTACGCCAGTTGTGAGTAACCGGTCAACGAAGAGAAGCTTACAAGGTTGCCCAGAAGGTATCACACACTCTCCCGTGTATATCTCTATGTCAACTCGGTACTTGTCATAACAGAAAGTGAACTTCCAGTGCTAAACTAAATCTGTCTACTTAACTATAATTTTCTAACTTAACGCTGAGTTACTTAGTTGCATTTCTATTGTTGCAGTGAACTCAGCGGTTAGTTTGCAGTATTGGAAGATTTAAACTGCTTGCATGAATCGAATATCCATTTTAATATCATTATTATCTACATAGTTACGAACTACTTAAAAATAACCGAGAATGGTCTGTAGTACTTCTAAAATATTTCGATCAATTATTTATTCCTCCACAAAAGGAACTAAATTAACAGTAACAAAATGTTGCATGATGAACGCATAGTGACTACTAGTTACTTTCAGACTTTCATGAAAATGTATTGAAGCATAATCATATGATCAGACAGCGTACCTAAACAGTGGGCTATCAAACATTTCCCCTCGAATACATACATTTTATCAATTTTTTTTAATCTCCTAGTTATGTCTTTTAAACATGTCATATACTCTCGCACGTTTTAAAATGTTTTCAAACTGTACTTTTTCAAACCAACGATAGAAAAAAGGGAAAACGCTACACCAGTAAGAAATGAACTTGTAAATACACGAAAATGTAGCACATTGTTATTCCTAAGATACTTATGTCGAATTGTAGATTTCTGTAGTGGCCGAATAAACTATCAGCACCGGAATTTCGCTCTATTTTCTATACACCCATCAGTCTAGACCGAAAGCTAATGTGCAACAATTATTTCGTTTAAAAATATTGTGTAGGGAATGAGCTTGATGAAATAGTAAATGCTGAGAAATTCGTACTGCACCACACATGTTGTTTGGAAATAAAGCCATAATAATAATTATTAAAAATTATTATTACCAAGGTTGACAATAGCATATGCAAGTTCAGTGAAGAAAATAAATTACTTAGTAACACTCTTTCATCCCCTTGATAAGGATCTACATAATTTCTTCCCCAGAATTAAAGTTATATTACTATGTGCTATACGAATAAGCTAATAAGCAAATATGAGATTCCACACTGCACCACAATGTTAACGTAATTCTGTCACATGATTCATTAAAAGTGAGTCTATCAGTTTCGTGCATAATGTGTAAATAATAACGTCCGGAGAACATCTTTTTCATGCTAAATGCTTAAAGGTTGAGTTAATACTGATTATACGGAAGCACTGATCTACATTTAGGATTGCTACAGAAGGATGAAATGAATGCAAATCAACAGTGAAAAGATTCCTTATTGCCACAAAAATATGCAGGGACGTCACACAATTAAAGCAATAAGTTATCTTCAGATGTATGTGAACAAAGTCAAAACAAATCAAAAATAGCTTTGAATCCTTTAAAAAATGTATGACTTCTCAAACTCCCTTAATAATATGACCTCGTTTCCTCATAAAAAGGTACATACAAAACGGGATCACGGAGGTGAATAAGCATGAATAATTTTATGTTTGCAGCTACAGCTTCTACAGCATTAAATTAACAAATAAGTAAACTTACAAGAATTTTAGAATAATTTCCAGATATTTGTGGGCAAGTCCAATTGGAGTCTGAAAAAGAGTAAATAAGCGGAAGAGTGCCAAGATCCTACGAGGTTAGCAAAAGCTAGGAGATAAACTTTCAGTAGAACATTCAAACAGCAAAATTATGTAAATATGATTTCAATAGATACTATCTCCCAGAAAACCACAAAACTAAAGGAAACAAAAGACTAATCCAGCGTAGATCAGATCTGAAAAACCTACTTAGTTTAAAGTTTTCCCTTAACCACATAGACGAAACGAGAAACTTGTACCATCGAAAAGGGGATAACGCACACATAAGTAATGAGCAAACAAGTAAAGAAAAAGGCACCGCTAAACAATACTTCTAGTTCAGGCAAATTCGAAATAACTATAATGATATGCACGAAACAATGCAACCAGATTATGCCACACGACTTTCACAGATGATCTACAAACGATATCCTTATGAACCTCCAAAAAGCTAAGCATAAAAGCAATGGTAATTTAAAGAAATATTGGTCAACTACATATCAGTTAAGTAGTAACAAAAAAAGCTTTTTTACAACAGTTATTCAGTAAACTAACTTCCGAAAGGGTTATGACATCATTCAAGATTCCATCACGCATACCTGTAGGCAACAGACATCCCCAAAGATAGCAATAGATAATATCAACATGGAAATTAGCAACTCTACGTAATGCGTCAAGTTATCAAACATAATAGTACCTAAATAATACCTCAAATAGCTTCCTCAAGTCATGTTGCGACCATTGTCAACGATCAAAGTCAACGAAACATGGTTCCTAGTCTCCTCAAACCACACTGCCAATTTCATATTGCAACTCTCAACGTCCGAACTCTATGTGATATCGGATAACAGGCATCTCTTGCAAGAACTGAAATCTAGAGCCATGGATGCACTTTGGTTTACTGAGATGCGTACAGGACCCGAATGTGGTTATTCACTTACTACTCACTTCACACAGTGGATCTGAGGAATTCTCTTTATGCTCTCTACTGGATACCAACCAATAGGCGTATGTGTGCTGTCCGACTGAATGGATCTCTAAGAACTGGAGATGGCCGTTACACGTGCCTATGCCCATTCACAATATCTGTCTACATGCCCCCTCTGACTGGAGTTCCGATGATGTAATGAACGAATTCGATAAAAAGCTGTTACGTTCACTACATGAGACAAAACGTTCAGATAAACTCGTGATGATAGCAGGCAACCTTAACGCTCAATTAGGAAGATAGACAATTGGAAAGGTATCTGGCCGATATCTCTACGGAATCCCATACTAACAAACAGATAATGATGATCATCTCTTGTAGTTTCGTCTATCAGTTGTTTTTAGCCAGCATTAACTTCAGGTGTGAGGAGAGTCATCGTATCACTTAGCGTGGCAGCGATGCTCATCCTGTTGAAGCCTGATGTGATATTCAGTCTGGTGTAGAAACAGTGGTGAAGACAGTTGGTTACCCACTTCAATGGATTTCCGTAACATCACAGCTGATGGACACGAGGAGACTCATTCCAGCTGGCTCTGATCACTGAGGAGGAGGGAAAGCAACTTAAACGTAAATTGACTGAGAGTCTTCACAATGATCGCCAGCAGTGGTGGGTGGCAAGAGCAAGAGAGCTGGAGAAGGCATCAGTGTCAGGTATCACTTGAGAATTATCTAGGTCTATTAAGAATGCTGGCAAGAAGCAGATGAGATTAGAGATTGTCGCCGAAAAGAATTAGACCGTGATAACCTTTATGATCAGTTGGTTACAAAGTTGAGTGGATCGCTTTGAAGTTCAACGTGCCCACAGCAAGGGTTTAGTTGCACTGCATGAATCACCTTTCCGGTTGCCTGGATTAATTTACTTTCATGGAATGGCAGAGAGTTGCTGGAACTTCGTGAATTTTCTTGTTTAAGTATCTATTTCATTTGATGGTATCAGTTGCTTTGTAGGCATGCTTATCATCGTGTTAAGGATGCAGTAAAGTTTTCTTACCACAGTATACATGCTCTTCGTACTGTTCAACGGGAAATTAATTTATTTCGTTTTTCTTAGCACTTGCGATCGGAGGACACCAGGGTTTCGATGAATAATTCTTATGGAAATGTTCTCGAACTGTTTGCGAAACCTAAGGGTTCAGGTTAGTTTGTTAAACATGTTCAATTCATTCTTTTTGGTCAACATTTGTATGTAAGTTTGTTGAATTTTTATGGCATTTTATCGACTCTCTGCCTCCACATAAATATTTCTTTCGAAAGTAATATGAGGATACTGCACCTCATGTAATTCGTCTTCTTGATGTAATAATAACCAGTTCGTTAATTAAATTCTTTTATTTAAGTGTCCTGCTTATCACTTTTCAGTGTTGAAAACAAATGATGGCGACCTTCATTCGTCTTGTATACTGTTCTCGACAATTTGCTGATTGTGATGCTTTTTTTCAGCAACACAAAATACTCCCAAATGTTAACACCCCGGTGAGAACACGAATGGCATCTGTAAAGTATGATGTTTTGGGGCTATACATTTTGAGCAATCTGATCACATAAGGTTTATTTATCGGAAAATTAAAATTTTTCTATCAAATCAATAGAAAATATGTTGGAGAGAGAACAATAAATGTAGTACAAAAAAATATTTTAATCCACATATTTTACCCCACCTATTGCTGCTGCCTTGATATGGTGGTGATGCTTGCGTATCACAATGACCCAACGAGCTACACTGGCTAAAATGCTTGATCCCTCGAGTTTCAACTATACCAGACAGACATGTGGGATAGTGTTAGTACTAAGGAAGATTAACGGTTACAGTGTAAAAAAGTAATCTGGTTGTTCTCTACTATAGTCTTAGTGGTTTTAGTTTCCTTGCTGTGGGTAGTTTGCCAAAATTCTGCTCTTGTGCCGTGCCTAGTATCTTTATAACTCTATTTTTATTGACTTAATTGTCCTTTTTCAGTTTTCATGTATATATCCCTAACGAATTAGGAGAAATTGAAAAAAGCGTACCACAAGATATCGGTCCAGTGACTGAATATTAAAGTGCTTGCTTTCAGAATTAACTGTCTTGAGCTGAGTCACTTACGCAGTCAAAGGCTATGCATCAGTAAGGAATCCTAATATTGTAACTAATAGCTGCCCCGTGCATCCAGGTTTTCAGTGGTTCTCCAATCGACCACTATTTATGTGAAGAATTCTTGAAACCCATCAGTTTTGACAAAATTCACATGAGTCCGATCATTAACTCATGTGATCCGATTGTCAGAAATATGTAGGGACAATACAACAAAATCATTGAATTATTATTGCTATTATTTGTCCCTTGGGTTCTCAGTGGGACATAAGGCTTCAGTAGCACGTCGCCATTTCACTCTGTTCTCTACAGTCCCTTCAACCTGGCTCCATGTCACCCTTGGACACCCAACTCGTCGTTTCCCCTTTGGATTCCACTCGAAGGCCTGGTCTGGTGCGTGATGTCCCTAAATGGCTTTCTCAGTGTATGCCTGGTCAACTAGTTCACTAGTTACTAGCCGGTCCTTAGCCCGGATTAAGAGGGAAGTTTGAGTATAGGGCTATCAACCCTACCCCGTAAAACCAATCCAACCGCTACAGAAACTTCAAAGCACAAAGTAAATATAAGAAATAAAATTAAACTTGTTCCTCGCTGGAATCGGAGAGACGAAATGACGCCGGTTGGTGAAAGCCTTCGGGAAGCCAATTGCCCGATGTGTCTTCTCTCTCGATGAAAGCGAAAGTAAACATCGGGACATGGAATGTCTGCACTATGTTTGAACCTAACAAGGCTGCCCAGATTGCAAAACAGATGAGAAGGTATAGCATTGAAGTGCTAGGAATCTCCGAAAGCAGGTGGAATGGAAGTAGACTTTCCAAACTGTCAACTGGAGAGTCGATAATCTACTCCGGTATTGTCACCCAGACGACAACCACGAGCGCACTGAGTACAATGCTATGCTACGCTACGCACCTACAAATAATGCAGATGAAGAGAAGAAGGAGGGATTCTACAGACAACTGCAATCAGTACTGGAGAAGGTATGAATGCCGAACTCGGAGCAAACAACACAGGAAGAGAACTCATCATGGTTCGAGAAGCACTCGGAGAAATGAACGAGAATGGAGAACTGTTCGCAGAATTCTGTGAATTCAACGATTTGGTGATTGGAGGCACTGTGTTTAAGCACAAAGATATCTATCCACAAAGCGACATGGATTTCACCAGACACCACGATACACTAAAAATCAGATCGGCTTTATCTCAATCTCAAGAAAGTGGAGACGCAGCCCACTTGACACAAGGTCAAGAAGAGAAGCAGATGTAGCTTCAGACCATTGTCTAGTGCAAGAAATCTTCCAAATCAAGCTAAAAGTCTTCAAGGCAAATTTAACCTCTGCCTAAGTCATCTTCTGGATCAGATGTTAAGTTTCGATCCATCACTATAACTCCCCCTTTTTCGAAGACATTGGAGAAATTACTTCTCCTTGTGATTGAGCCTTCGTTGAAGGTTTCCAGAGATCCGAAACAATTTGCTTGGAAATACAGGAGAAGTACTTTAGATGCTATCACTGTCTTTTATCATAATATTGTTTCCTCTCTAGACAAAGGTGTTAAGTATGTCCGTTGTGCCTTTCTGGATTACTCATCAGCCTTTGACTACTCTTTTTAAATAAGCTTGCCAAAGCTCGTACCGAGCCATAGGTTGCAAAGTGGCTGTGTTCTTATGTTTCCGAAAGAAAGTAGTACATTGTTTATAAAGGAAAGCGCTCCACTTCATTGCTTATTTAAGCTGGTGTGCTTTAATGTGCTATACTTTCTTCTTTTCTGTTTTCGTTCTTTTTGCACGATTTACCTTATTCTGTTGAAACTAATTTTATTAAGTATGCTGATGACCTGATGGTGTCTATTCCTGTTAACTGTCATTTAGATTGCTCTGAAATAGATGGATTCTTGTCTCCTATTGACCAATCCTCTCTCTCACATGGTCTCAAGTTAAACCCTTCTAAATGTTAGACT